CATGTTCAGAATCTATGCAATGCTGAAGATGCATTGTTACCTATCTACTTCAAGAACGCGACAAACACTTTTCTTGTTACGCTCAACAACAGTATCCACCCAGTGAGCAGCTAGACTAAGCCTCAAGTGCGGTATAGGGCGATGAAACTGAAAACGAATGGTTTGTTGTAGTACAAAACACATTTCCATGCCCAGCTTATATACACAATCAAAAACTATATACGTATTCAAGAACCAATGTTCTCTCTATGCGCAGTGCTATTTTACTGTGTGCCATTATCAGGCTATCATGTGAATGTCCGCATATAATTATCACACCGCAAAAAGACCGCATGTAATTATGGCACCTAGAAATATTCCCTAGATTGACTTTCGAATACGAAATTAGCAGTGACGATTGTATGAGGCACACATTGCAATAAGAAATTAGTGATAGCAAATTTATATCAGAGTACGAAATCAGCAGTAGAACAGGCTTACGATTGAAGCGTTTCTGTCACCATTTCCTTGTGTCGCGGTGGAAAAACGTTCCAATCCACTTGTAAGTATGGTTGCTCTGGTGTCAACGCGAGCCAGGCAACGGAATCGACGACTTTAGCGTTCTGGCGCGCCTTATCGGCCCTTATCAATCGTTATCAGTTTCTGGCACCCACCAACAATGTCCCCGTCCCACCCCACATAACACTTGTAAGTATGGTTGCTCTGGTGTCAACGCGAGCCAGGTAACGGAATCGACGACTTTTGCGTTCTGACGCGCCTTATCAGCCCTTATCAGTTGCTATCGCTTCCAATCATGTACCACCAATGTCCCGGGACCACCCCACATAACACTTGTAAGTATAGACGCTCTAGTACCAATATGAACGACAAAACGAAATTGGCGATGCTCGCTTTCTAGCCCCTCTTATCAGCTATTATCAGTCGTTATCAGTTCCTATCACGTACCACTTGTGTCCCCATCCCACCCCCTATAACATATGTAAGAACCACTGCGCTATCATTACTGTGACTCGAGCTATGAATTTCCGGTCAAACATACACACACACAACAGACACACGCTAGCCGCTTATATATAGTAGGATTCAAGAGCCAATGTTCTCTCCATGCACAGTGCTATTTTACTGTCACATTATCAGGCTATCTTCTGAATGTCCGCATATAATTATCACACCGCAAAAAGACTTCGCATGTAATTATGGCACCTAGAAATATTCCCTAGATTGACTTTCGAATACGAACGAAATTAGCAGTGGCGATTGATTGTATGAGGCACACAATTCAAAAAGAAATTAGCGATAACAACCATATCAGAGTACGAAATCAGCAGTGGTACAGGCGTAAGATTGGAATGTTTTTCCACCGCGACACAAGGAAATGGTGACAGAAACGCTTCAATCGTAAGCCTGTTCTACTGCTGATTTCGTACTCTGATATAATTTGCTATCACTAATTTCTTATTGCAATGTGTGCCTCATACAATCGTCACTGCTAATTTCGTATTCGAAAGTCAATCTAGGGAATATTTCTAGGTGCCATAATTACATGCGGTCTTTTTGCGGTGTGATAATTATATGCGGACATTCACATGATAGCCTGATAATGGCACACAGTAAAATAGCACTGCGCATAGAGAGAACATTGGTTCTTGAATACGTATATAGTTTTTGATTGTGTATATAAGCTGGGCATGGAAATGTGTTTTGTACTACAACAAACCATTCGTTTTCAGTTTCATCGCCCTATACCGCACTTGAGGCTTAGTCTAGCTGCTCAATGGGTGGATACTGTTGTTTGAGCGTAACAAGAAAAGTGTTTGTCGCGTTCTTGAAGTAGATAGGTAACAATGCATCTTCAGCATTGCATAGATTCTGAACATGAAGCAGTTGCACGAGTGCCATCCTATAAAGAACACACATCACGTGCAAAATGTCCTCTGTCACTATAAAAAGGATAAAGGATAAAGCATTTGCCGTTGATCAATCCCTTTTTGGGATGCGGCACGCATTCTACTTCCATTTGTACATTCGTAGTGGCGTTTGAATGCGATGTGGCCTATACAATGACTTGCGGGGGCCAGCCGATGTACAAGTCAGTGTTTTTATCCTCCCAGACAAGTCTGGTACCAATTAACCGACCCCGGAGGGATGGAAGGCTTGGTTGGCCCGGGCGACTCACGACCCAGGATTTGATCCCCGGACCGCTCGCGTGGTAAGCGCGCCACTTGTCACTACACCACTTCCGCCCCTTTGTCACTATGCTAATCAAAAGAAACAGTATGAAGAGTGCGCAAAGCTGTTTTGTGAAATATGGCCGCCACAGAATCTGATAGCGATTTTAGGTAGCTGAAGGTGGTAGCAATGGCAGAAAAAGCTTGAAAATCCATGGCCACCTCCTTTGCTCAGTGGAAAACTCCCACAAGACGGACAATCCAGTCAAATAAGCCAGAATGGAGGGCGAGCAAACGTCCTCCACCTTCTATCTTGTTCTTTCTCTGTATTCTCGTGGGCTTCTGTGCAGGCTCGTCGAATCGATGAGAAAGTTTTGGCAAGAGCCATCAGGTCAGCACCTCACGCCTCACTCAGCTGCGATACCACTGCCCTGGATTGACAGTGGAGACAATTTTCTGATCTGGAAGCGAAGTTTTTGCTCCGGCCCGGAGCTGCATGGGAGGAAATCCAACCCCAAAGCAAGTTGGGCTCCTTCTGAGAATAACCGCAGCTAGTGCATACTTCACCATTCAAACACTATTATACGTGGATCACCACTGGATTATAAGGCTGGCTCGACGCGATCCTCTCATCGCTCGCAAGTGCAATATTTTTGACCTTCCTGTTCAAGTAATAGATCTCAGCTCAAAGTCAACATTTCTGCTCATTTTCACAAGTTTGCTTTCAATCAGAAATCGAATTACATTAAAGAATATTACATTACATTATATTTAAGAATTACGAATTTACATTACTTATAGAATATAGATTTAGAAAAATGCGTTGGTTGTTGCTCGCATGCTTTTTTGTGATGAGCATTGTGAACAGCTATGGCATGGTCTACAAACCAACACGCGGGAAGAAATAACAACAACTCGTCGTAATAGAGGTTCTTCACCATCACGTTATCGCTGGAGAAGAAAACAGTATAAACACCTTAATAAAATTATTTCTTCCGCACTCGTGTGTACAACAGCTTCGCGACTATTTTACAAAATCAATTTCTTTTACATGCCCATCTCGTAAGAAGAAATATTGAAGGAAACCGATGGCTAACGCTGTCGGAACACTATTTGTATTTGGTCTTTCAAAGTCGTCTCGACGAAAAGTTGTAACGCGACTACACTCCACTCTACATATAGCACGGTCAAACAGTATGCTCACGGTTACTACAGTGCCAATCAAATGTATGTGGACACCATGGAATCAACATTCCTGGCCCCTGCGAGTCACTGAATTGAAAAAATTGCATTCGAATTGTTGCCGCGATTCTGAATTGAAGTAGATGACCAGCCGTGGCCAAAACGGAATTGATTAAATCTGATGAATGCACAGAATGAAGTACCAAGCTGCACCAAATTACACCAAACACCGAGTGCGCCACATCGCACCAGGGCAGAATCCAATGCACTGAATGCTCGGGTCATAATAGTAGGAAAAAAGATTACAACACTTTGCACCATAGAGATTGAAAACGCACCTAATCCTGCAAAAGGATCGACTGAGGAGTATTTCTGCTCCTCCGGCGTCGTGCTTATATTCGTATAATATCTATGTTGTAGTGTGTAGTGTATATGTCTATGTTTTAGGATCTCCGAAAGAATTTTGATGAAACGCACGAGAACGGCTATACTGTGAACAAAATGCGATTTCTTAACTATGATTTGTGAACTACAGAAAATACAAAATATATAATTAAATAACTACCTATGATTAAATGCGCAAGGGCGGACCAAAAAAAGAGACACTTGACTCACATTTCAGACAGCATTAATCACACTTTGCTAGAATCAAATCGACTGCCCCAACTCAGTATTGAAGAGCACATTCTAATCTATCTAAAGTTACATGACAGCCTTCTACACCGACGACATCAGAAGATTTTCCCACGGAAACATGGTTCACGGTACGAGCTCAACGAGGTCGTCGAGGTACCATAGACCATTACGACGTCCCTGCAAAGGTCCCACCGGTCAAAAGCGGTTGAGCATAATCGCAGCTGGGAAGCTAAAACCGTAATGGTTTTAAAAATTGTGTAGCAGCTTCAAGAGCCTGCGATTATGCTAAGCCTGGTTGAGCTCGACGGTGGCGGCAGATGACGTCATATTCTGAAGACGGTGGGGTAGTGAAGGAGCATTGCTTCTGCATTACATGGGAACACCTAAGGAATGATCCAGCGTAAAATATTACTTCAACGTCGGCACCCTGTGCGACGAAAATGTGATGCCATGCGATCACTTTGTGATAGTGCCACAACTGTTTTGAATGAAAGTATTCAGATTGGTTGGCGCAAACCACAGTTGGATTGCGCAAGGATGAATGTACAATATTATTAGTCACCTGTTGTCCCCTCCAATTAGGAGCACAGCTGGAATTGTTCCACCATTTTTATGAGATGCTGAACCTGCGACGCTATTCCGTCTTGTGATTTTTCATTTTTTGTTCACAGTGTCCAGGCACGCACTGCTACATATGTGAGCGATTTCAACATTTTTAGGTTCCTTGCCACTCCAGTCGTCACGATTGAGAGAATTTAAGTCTCTCCTAGATACTACGAGTTGACGGAATAAGGCGCTTCAGTTCCATAAAGAATTTTTGACCGACTCTAAAAATGAACCACAAAGGATTTTTTTTGGTAAATCGATCGAATAGTTGAATTAGTCTCCTTCACACAAGTACTATTCTGAATTAATAACCAACAAAAAGCGAAATTAGGTAGCTCAATCACGCTGATGTAGCCCTACCATTCCAAAAGGGTGGAATTGGTGGAAGAATGGTGCCGGTTAAAATGGTCAAGAAACCGAAGCGTTGATCGTACGCTGCCCATGTCAAGCAAGTCCTCGATCTCCCCTGGGTTGTCAGGTTGGCAGCAGGCTGTATATGTAGATTAAAAACATTCACTAGGATTCACTTGACCCCAGCAAGGCAAGGTTGTGTGAGTCAGTCCATATTCAAATGGCACTCCAACTGTGGGAAGGGGTAAAGTGTGTGGCGCCTTGCAAAAAGATTTATCAGCGTCGAGTTCCTTATTCTTTACACTTCATGGACATGGTTTTGCTATCATCTGCCCGGAGCCGCAGGTTTCTTAATATTTCAATGCTATCGTATTTAGAAGCTCTCGAAAAGCCTCGTCAAGACATCGTAAGGTATAAGTAAACAAATAGAAAGGTAGTAAAAAAGCATGTTCAATGCGACGCATTCTTCGCAAGATTTGTGTGCCCAGAGCCGTTCTCGGACAATGCAGTTGATTCGAAAGCCGTGTCCGTTTACCTACCGGCACTTGTTGAATAGAATCGTACAAAAACTTTATGACGAATCTTGAGAGCATGCAAATACGTAACGACCAGACGTAAGCGCTCGATCTCTCCTCAGCTCTGCCGCTGCAGGCTGGAAATTAAAATGAATCAAAAGTTAATTGTCGGATTGTCAATGGTTCTTGTTATTTGGGAACGGATCGTGTTTTTAGTTGGCAACTAGTAACTCTCTCTGGAATGAAGCTTATTTTTTTAAGGGGAGACCACTTTTTGGCGAGTTTTTCACGAGTTCGAGGAAGGCTTTGAAGGGTGAAGGAAGCGTGAAATGGACAAAATCAGGGCATTCGCCATCCCTCTGAATTAATTGCCCAGCCCCTTACCTGCTCGACGGCAGTATTGAGAGGAAACTCGTGGCTGAGGTGGATCGTGTCGACTGATTTAGGAACCAACTTACTGAAAGAAAACGGTGGCAAAGGTGGTAGGTGGAGGTGATGAGGACCCTCGTATCAAGACCCCAGAGAGCTACGCAAAAGTTCGAGTTCGGCCTAACACCGTGGTTGGTACTGGGTCAATCTGTTGTAAGGCACCCACGTTGCATAGGAGAGACTATCTACCGAGTTTGTCGCCCAAGACTGTGGCTACATCCATGTACAGTGGCACCATTAGTGACGTGAGTAATGTATGGAAAGTAACGGAGAAAAGATGAGAAAATGAGCAGTTTCGATGACTCGCAGTATTATTGGAAATATTTTTTAAAGATGATTGGGTTGGTTAGAAAATTCTTGAAAATCGGAGAGGTCCTTGAGACCTGGCTCAACGGCAGAATAAATGCTGAACAGACAACA